GATTTATTAAATTTCATAACGTTATTTTCTCATGTAATTTTATTGAGAAAAATATTGATCAATGTATATACCTTAAAGTTAGTGAAAGCAATTATATTTTTCTTATCCTATATGTAAATGATATTTTATTTGTAAGTAGTGACTTGAGTTTGTTTCATGAGACAAAGCAATTTCTTTATCAAAACTTCAATATGAAGGTTTGGGTGAAGTCTTTTATGTCATTGGTATAGAGATTCACAGAGACAAATCTAAAAAAATATTAGAATTATTTCAAAAAACCTGTGTTGAAAAAGGTTTTGGAAAGATTCAAGATGCCAAATTATGCATCTATAGTAGCGCCCATTAATTCAATCAAGATCAATGTTCAAAAAATACATTGGAAAAAAACTAGATAAGCAACATTTCCTATGCATTTGCGGTAGGCAATTTGATGTATGCTTAGGTTTGAATAAGACTTGAGTTGGCATTTGTTGGAGAAATGTTGGAAAGGTTCCAAAACAATCTTGGAATGGAAAATTAGAAAATTTTTAAGAAAGTCATAAGGTATCTATAAAGAATTAAAGATTACAAACTGACTTACATATATATTAATCATCTTAAGGTGGTTGGTTATCCATATTTGAATTTACTTGGTTATGTAAACACATGAAAGTCTACTTTAAGATATATTTTTCTCTTTAGTGGAGGAGTTATATCTTGGAAAGTACTAAATAAAATATTATTGTTTTGTCTACTTTAAGATATATTCACTACATGATATTAAGAAACAACTTAGGCTATCTAGATAAAAAAATTTCATATCTAGCCTAAAAGTTGTTGATTTTATATCAAGACTAGTAAATATTTATTATGATAATTCAGTTATAGTTTTCTTTTCTAGAATAATAAGAGTGAAAGTTAAAACAAACATATCAAGATAAAGTGCCTTTTTGTGAGAGAGAAAGTAAAAGAACATAAAATGTTTCTTAAGCATATTAGCATTGAGCTAATGGTTGCGAGATTCCATGATTGAAACAATGTCGATAAAACAAGTATATAGATCATATAAGTCTAGCTAACCTATTTGATGTTTTGACTTCATATTCTTTACGTTAATTGTCTAGATTTTTTTTTTTTTTATGTTATTCTTAGATATTGATATAATTTTTATACACATAAGGTATTATTTATTATATATATTGAGATACATAAAGTTGGACCCAAATAACTTATCAACGGGTTATTCCTAAAGTTTATTCCTTCATTAACTCGTTTATTTTGATGATGTAATATATTGCAATGCAAGAAAGAAAATACTTGGTTATAAAGTAAGACCACTATGATACATATGTTGTATTCTTGATCTAAATGTCAATGTTTCCAATTCCTAACTATTCTAGACTCTATAAAGGATTTGTCACTTTTCAAGTGGTGTCATATTTATCAAGTAGGAGAATGTAAAAAATATCTCTTAACATGGCTCATATACCATTTCTTGTTTAAATTAATATTATTTATTAATATATATTTAATATTTAATCAAATCTACAAGTAATAATTAAAGGCTTAGAGTCCATTAGACTTTAGCAATGGGATAAGCATATTCATGATGGATGGAAGTACAAAAGTTTGGTTAAAAAAATATTCTCTAGTCTTATCATATAAATATTACGTAAAGTTTTGTGTCATCCATTCACATATAAAAAACTTGAAATATCGGCATAGACTAGAAGACCATTTCTTTTTTATGGTACCAGTTTTTCTTGGATAATTGTTTAAACACTTAGTTAATCATAACAAGAGATACATATTTTATTAATTTTTATTGCGATTATATATTTGTACACATTTAATTTAGTTTAAAGGTAGAATTAAAAGAATTGTATGGTAGAGCTTTAATTATTTCTTAAATTTCATGTTGGTAGGAATGAAGCATATGCTAGATCGAAAAATAAGATTTGATCGAGTCCTGAAGAGAAGTGAGAAATCCACTATATATTTTATTATAGAGAAAGATACAAAATTTATACGAGTATGGGTCAACTATTTCCTATATTAAACCTATGAAATATGGAAATATCCATATGTATAAAGATTACATTTAATATAGATTATTTTATAATAATGACAAAATATTCTACAATAATGACAGAATATCTTGTACAAAATTAATTATAAACTAATTTCCATTATTACTCTCCCTCGAGTTAGAGCATGCAAATTGAAAATACCCAACTTGTGTAGCAAGGCGTGAAAGTGATCACGTTCGAGGGCTTTGGTAAAAATATCGGCTAGTCGGTAGCGAGTAGAAATTGATCGCGATAGTAATAGCTTGGATTGGATGTGTTGTCGAATAAAGTGATGATTGATTTCGAGTATATTTGGTGCATTCATGAAAAATATGATGGGCGAGCAATATGGAGAGCAATTTGATTATCACAAAAGAGAGAACTAAATTAGGATGAGGAATGCTCAATTCGAAAGTAGTCGTACAAGCCAAACAATCTCACTAGCGGTAGTCGCCATAGCTCTATACTCGGTTTTACCGTCAAACAAGAGACAATGGATTGTTTCTTGGATCGTAAGAAAATTGGAGAGGATCCTAGAAAAAATATGTAGTAGGTGGTAGATCGACGAGTAACCAAACAATCGACCTAATCTGCATCACGAGTATCCCCTCAAGATTAAAGAACCATAAGAAGGAAACAAGATGCCCTATCTAGGAGCACCCTTAAGATAGCAAAAAACCTTGATAGCAGTATTAAAATATGGTCGACGTGGTCCGTGCATGAATTGACTCAAAACATGAACCACATAACTAATATTAAGACAAGTGATGGTTAGATAAATCAAGCGGCCAACAAGACAATGATACTAACTAGAATCATCACAAAGAGGATCGAATGCGGATCAAGTTTATGCTACCGATCCATGGATGAAGAGGAGGGTTTACAACAAGTTAATCCATATTCGACTAAAATATCAACTACATAATTACGTTGATCGAGAGCAATGCCGGCAGGTGAGCGTGTAACCTTAAGACCTAAAAAATACTTGAGTTTTTCAAAGTCTTCGGTATGAAACTAAGTGTCCAAATATTCTTTCGACCAAGAGATTTTAGCCACGTAAATACCCATAATGATCACGTCATCAACATAAATAAAAACCGCCATAAATGAACCTTGCTGAAAAAAGGTAAATGAGGAATGATCGAAGAAGATTGACGAAAGCCCACGACCAATAAAGACCGAGTAAACTTTTGATACTAGTTTCAAGATGCTCGACGAGTCCATGAAGTGATTTTTGAATAAGACAAACCCGTTGCTCCCTTTTCTTAGCAAAATCCCCGGGGATTTTCATATAAACTTCTTATTTGAGATCACCATGCAAGAAGGCATTGTTGACATCCAACCGGTGCATTTCTCAATTGCGTACGTAAGCAATGGCAAAAAGACATTGAATAGTGACTAGTTTGGCAAATGGTAAAAATGTTTCATAAAAATCAATGCTCTCTACCTAAGTATACCTTTTTGCTACAAGACAAGCTCTAATACCATATCAAGCTCTAATATCATGTCAAAGGACTATCTCAATCCAAAAGCTTAACTTGTTAAGTGAGGCCTCAAGAATGATTTTATATGATTCTCTAATACACCTCGTAGTGTAAAAGCTCATTGGATTTGAAACTTGCACAAACTCACACTACCTTGTGCTTAATTAATTAGAAGAGAAATGAGAATGATGAGATTTGAACTCATGACCATTTAGTCAACAAGACTACGATACCATATAAGCATCGGTCATAGGATACAAACATATTTGGCGATGTTCGGCTATGACAAGCGGACAACCTAAGTATGGGTATGGCTCAATGCATTTTCGTACCTTAAAAAAAAAAATTGAATTTGATTGAGAGGTTTTTTTCTTTTTCTTTTTTCCAAAGCCATCTGTATCTAACGTTTGAAAACTTTCGTTTGAGGTCTTATGTTTGTTTTTAGTCAGCAATTTGAATCCAGCATAAATAATTTTTTGGATTTAATACATTCATTATATTTAGATAATTCAATATAAATGTCATTATTAATTCGTTAGTAAAGCTTGATGATGCGGAAAATATTAGCTATATAACATACAATTTTTTACTAAAATGATTAAAAAAAGATTGATTTTTTAAAAAAATCAATCTTTTTTTAAATAAAGCAAATAAAACTGAGATGAACCCATAAATCTTTTTGGTTTATTTACTTAAAAAAATAGTTTTCATTAATTCGGATTAGGCATCTTAGCCAAAAATGTGTACCATAAACTAATATTTTTTCACTTCACCAAAGCTTTAAAATAGCAAATAATGAATTTTTGTAACTCATCACAACAATACTAGGACAGTTGAATTCGTAAAATTATTAAACAAAGTCTAATTTATCAATTTAATACAAACACAAAATTTACAAATGTTTTTTTCATAAAAATTCTTTAACATATCAAGTGCATCATCATCATAAAGGAGTTTGACAAGGGATTTTAGTTTACGAAGGGTATGTTTTGAAGAAAAAAAAAAAAAAAACAAGGGAATATTTGTTGGTAAGGAAAAGCAGACAGCACACTATTTAGTAGGATGTACAAAAATAGAATCGTTTTTTGGTTAAGGAACAGGTCATAAAGCTCCTTAAACAGGTACACTGGCATCTGAAATGTTTTTGCTTGTGTTTTTCTTGTTTTTACATCGAAGCGTCCTTGATGTTAGAAAAGGATACAGCTTCATACCAAAAGATGCATCAAAACGGAAAACAACCTCACATTGAATGTACTCCCCTTCAAAAGTCCGCACTCTCTGCTGTCACAGCCTACAGATGCAAGAAAGCATCCCAAAATAAACGGCAAACCCAACAATAACCCTCTTACATTAAATTAAGAGAGAGATCATGAGAACTAAAAAGAACTAAGGGCTAGGGTTTGCAGAGAAGAGGCTTAACTTTCTGATTCTCTCTTCCTCTGCAAACCCCTTTGGTAGCCCTGATCAAATGTCCTCTCGAACCCCAGATATTTCCCCTTCTTCTTATGGTAATAATGATGATATCCATGACCTTGCTTTTGCGAAAAGAGGTTGCTGTTGGATCCCATTTTCAACCACAGATCCAACGTCATCCAGCGGTACTGTTGGATCAGCCTTTTGGCAACGAATCAAGCCTGTCGACTGCACAGCGGACCAAGAATCATGGTGGTTTCGGGAATGGATGAAAATTCGGGATTGGTCAGAGCAAGTTGCAGGCCCCAAATGGAAAACATTTTTGCGGAAGTTTAATAAGAAGACAGGAGGTGGCATTCAAAATGGAAAATTCCAATATGATCCTATAAGCTATGCCCTTAACTTCGACCAGGGTTCAAGACGTTACGAAGATGATGATCTTCTGGGAAGGGGTTTCTCATCCAGGTACTCCCTCCCGCCTTCTTGTAAGTCATCTATGGATTTCGACAAGGAGAGTTTCTTGATCACATGATCACGAGAAGAATGAGATATGTTGTTCACCTTCTACCCTCAAAGTCTTGTATTCAAATCTTGGAAAAGGTACGTAGGTGAAGACTTAAACGAAATGGAATGAAAGGGTTGCTGTGCATCGACATTCATGGTCAAAGTAAAGAAAGAAAACAACTGCAGCGAGCCTGTAGCGGACAAATTGAGAGGTTTTGCTTGATTAATTAATTATTTTGTTTGATTTTTTGTTTCGGTAGTATTTTTATATTTAATTTATATGTTTCGTTATTAAGTATGTTTCTATGTATCTGTCAGTTTGGGATTAATGAGCATTTGAGGAAAATATGAAAATCTCCGTCATGTTCCGCAAGAGTTATTAATTTATATTCTCACTGCATGATGTGGCTTCCGTAGGTACTTCAATAGAAAAATATCATTAGACTAGTATTCAAACATGTACAATGCATTTGTGTGAAATCAATCTCTCTCTCTCTCTCTCTCTCTCATATATATATATATATATATATAAAGGTGAAGGTTTTTTTTTTTTTTTGACATTTTAGTTAGGGGCATTTCGAACAAAAAATTTACTACTAGTAAGAAAATTGATTGAAATGAAATAAGGAGAACTTAAATATAATAGATATAATTAGAAACATAGAGACAAAGTGAAGACTCGGGCTATTATATAACGATGTATTGACCTATTTACTCGTGTGTGTGTGTGTATATATATATATATATATATAGTATTAATCGCCTAAAGCATCCCTCTACTCATCTTTTTTTTTTAATGTGTCCCCTCTACTCTTATTTTTTTTATCCGTCTCTCTACTCCTAAAATTTTTATGCCTCTCTTTTTGTGTCTCTTTATTTTTTAGCCTTTTTTTCCTTTTTTTAAACTTTTTTTGTGTTATGTGTTAATTTGACATGGCATTACGCGGGTCATATATCATATTTGCTCAAAAAATTGGCGGAAAAATGATAGGAGGGGTCTCATTAAAAAATTTAAGGAGTAAATAAATGCGATATAATCAAAAGTAAAGATGCTACATTAAAAAAATATCAAGAGCGAGAGGGACTTTTCATTTGATTATTAATCATATACATACTTACATACATACATCATGTATGTATGTATGTATGTATGTATATGCTCTTTGCAATGGAGCTATGTGTCTTTGAGTTGTTCCTTTTTTGATTTCCATATAACATCATTGGTCATTTGGAATTTGAAGATGCATGAGATTTTAACATCCGGATTGATTGCATTTGTTGGTCAACCTTTTTGAGAGGATTGAAAAAATCGTGGTAGAGTCTTCCGAAATCCCGCAAGCATAGAGCACGAGTATTAGTGTTAACGGTGATTGGCAAAACCACTCTAATGGTTAAGTTAATATTTTGGGCATATTATGTAGATATTAGAGAGATATGCTCCTTGCAAATATATGTATATATTTGTGTGGTTGAAGTTGTGTTTAATAAAAGAATGACTTCTTTTATATAGTGGAAAATATAAAGTATAAGGCATATCTTTGGTTTGTTAGACCATATGGCTATAAGACCATCATAAAGAGGGCTCATAATTGTGAGAAGGCCTAGTTTTGGTAGGCTTTATAGGAAAGCCCAAGTTTCATATCATTAGTTGTCCCCTATCTTAAAACGAAGCTCACTCGGTTTTGAGATAGAATAATATTATGGTATGATGTAATTTGAGCAAATTGGGGCTTTAGAGATACAACTCATCATATTTGAACTGTCTAACCAATTTTTTTAATGAGTTATCCGGATAGAATAGAGTTTTTAGAGAAAAAATGGTTCTTAAATCTTAAAAGAACGTTTTCCTAGAGTAATATATATTCTTGAAGGAATGTTATCATAAGTTTTTTGAAAAAATTTATTTGTATGACCACGAAGGAGTTGGAGATTCTTGAAAGAATATACTTGTTTTGTCCTTTCATTTTTTTTGAAATCCTTAGAGTTTGAAGTCTTATCTATTTTATATTTTCATTCCTCTATAACTCTCGGACTAGATTCAAATATATTATCTACACTTTTGTTCCTCAAGAACTTTCAAAGTGAATTCAAATCGTTACTTGCACTTTTGTTCCTTTAGAACTCTTAAACTAAATTTGAATCTATTTTCTATATTTTTCCCTCTTAAACTCTTGGACTGGATCTGAATTAATTATCTATACTTTTATTTATTTAGAACTCTCGAATAGATTTCTAGAGGTAGAATCTATGAGGAGGGATGGACTCCTTGAGAGAAGCGAGGATCCTTTAAAGAGAAGTGAGATCCCTAATAAGTGATGGACTCTTTGAGGAAAGAAGGATCTCAAACATTAAGATAAATTCCCTAAGAAGAGGTGTACTCCCTCGAGGAAAAAAAAAAGATCCCAAACATGGGAATAGAGTAGTCGAAGAGGAATGGACTCCCTAGGAATAAGAGGATCCAAATGCATAGATAGAGTCCCTAAGAAGGAATGAACTCTCTAAGGAAAAAAGGATCCCAAGAATGAAGATGGAGTCTTTAAAAAGTAAAGGACTCTTTAGAGAGAGGAGGATCCCGGACATAGAAAAAGAACCCATGAGGAGGGATGGACTTCCTAGGGATAGGAGGATCCCTTTGAGAGGAATGAGATCCTTAAGGAGGGATGGATTCCTTAAAAGAATGAGGATTCCTTGGAGAAAAGTGGCAACCCTTAAGAGAGATAGAGTCCCTAGAAAGAGATAAAACTTAGACATAGAGACAGAGTCCCTAAAAGGGATGGGCTCTTTGAAAAGAGGAGGACATGAATGTGGATATAGAGTTCCTAAAGAGGAATGGACTCCCTAAGGAAAGAAGGATCCTAAACATAAACATGGAGTCCTCGAGGGATTGAATCCTTATAAGAAGAAGGATCCTAGATGTGGAGATGGAGTCCTCGAGGGATGGACTCTCTAGAAGGAGAAGGATCCTGAATGTGGAGATAAAATCTTTAGGAAAGGATGCACTCCCTAAGAGGAGAAGGATCCTAGATATAAAGATGGAATCCATAGATGGAGAAAGATCCTAGATGCGAAAAATGGAATCTTTAGAGAGGAATGGACTTCCTAGAAAGACTAGAGGATCCTAGACATGGAAGAGGAATTTCTAAAAAGGGATGGGATATCTTGAATATGGGAGATAATCCCCGGATAGGGATGGACTTTATGTTCCATCCAGGTAAACTGATTTTTTTTTTAATTATTTGACATTGAAGGTGTTAAATATGACTAAATGGTCATAAAATCATATTATCCGAGTGGATGAAGGGTTGATATTGATAGTCGACTAAAATTGATAATTGAATTAGAGTTATGTTTTACAATCGGGGATGATATTATGAAGCATTAGAAAAATTAAGGATCGATCTATATAGAATTATAAAATTTATGATTTACATCCTTTGCACACTCTCGACACATGGAACAATCTTTGATGAAGAAACTAGGCAAAACTAGTGGTGCTGGATTCATCTCGTAAGATGAATTTGATCGTCCAACACGTGGTGATGGTGGGCCTCCAGTTTCTATCCGATTGGATTGTTCCTTTTTCTTTCTTCTCTTTTCTCTTTTTTTTTTTTTTATATTTATTGGATTTTGCATCGGCCTTTTGTATCGATTTTGTTAGCTTGGTTTGTTCGAGTTTACATTAGGTGGTGGACATTTGTTGATCATGTTCATCCATATGTGTCTTTTGAGTTGCTTTTTATTTACTAGATCTATCTCAAGTAATGGATAATGAATGGAGTTAGGCATCACATTTGATTTGCATAATTGGTTGATACTTGTAAAAATTAATAAAATGGGTGTCAAATCAAAATTGTCCTACAAATGGAGGCATGGCTATGTGATGGTCTTATCTCTCTACCATTCTAACATCTCTTTCACCATAATAATAAAATATTGATAAAACCAATATTTGATACCTTCTCCAAGAAGGTGTTTAGACAATTGGATACATATATGTCATGTAATACAAATTAATACTATTTCAAAAGGACATGAGTATGAAAAATATAAAATGATAACATAAATAAGTAAATTGCTCATCCTTTTTACTAGGAGGTCATGATTATGATAAATTACTATTCTATTTTTTTAAGTATTGTATTTCTTAAACTAAGAAAATATTATCTCATCTCACTTATGTACACTTGGGTGAAGCATATATTGTACAACCAAATTTGATTTTTTTGTGTAGAGATTTAAAAGTTTGACGAGACAAATGAGTAGAAGGAGGACATCACTATTACTGAATTGGAGGCTTAAAAAGTCATGAAGAAACTTAGAGATTGTATGAAGACTTGAGAAATGAGCTTTTTGACTAGTCTCTACATATGGCACCACTAAATGTGCATGAGAGCTCAACATCTAAATTGATTATGTTTGTTATTCAACCTCCTCGAGGAGAATGAAAAAATAACTGTGGTATTCTTTGAAGTTTTGCAATGATGGAGCGAAGCATCGGTGTTAGTGGAGACGAGAGGTTGTCGGACAAAACCATTTTAATGGTTAAATCGAGTATTTTAGACATTATTTAAATATTAGATAGAGGAAGATGACTCTCTATAAAAAGTTGATGGGTCACGTAACTATGAGGTCATAAAACAAAGCATCCATAATTGTAAAAAGATCTAACTTTAATGGATTTTAAGAAGAAATCCAAATTTTATACCTCATTAGAATATCTAAATTAAAAATCTTTTGAAATTTGCAGGTTTTATGATTCTTTGATTGTGAATACTCTTTTTATGGGAATGTTGTTGGATTTGATCTACAGAGTGATGATGATGAGCTTGATTGTTAGAATTTTTTTAAGATGATATGAAAATGCAAACACAATATCTATGCAGTGTAGGTTATTAACTCAGTATAGTTCTTGTTCTGTTTCGCATGTTTTACTATCAAGGAAATCAGGTCTAATTGTGAATCATATTCTATTTCTTGTCAAGCAAATGATGATGAGTTATTTAATAAGATAGCTTACCTATCTTTGCATTTTTCAAAACCAAAGTTAATGATGATGAGTTATTTGATAAGATGATGCTACAATAAATTATGGCTACAAAAGTACACGGAAAAGTTATCGATTTTAGTGTTAGAGAAGAAGTCTGACACACAATATGTTACAAAACAATCACCTATATATAGGTGATTAAAAATTTCCTCCTTGAGAAAAGAGCCAAAAAAAAAATCCCATGAAACATCTTTTTACTTCTTTTTTTAATTTTTTTTAACGTGACTCTTGTATTATTTATTATTATTATTATTATTTATCACTTTTCATTATTATTGAATTTTTCTTAATTCGATTATTCTGATTGTTTTTTTTAATTAAATTTGACAATTAGTATAAAAAAATATACAACATAACATCACATGTTAAGATAAAGTTATCACAGGGAAAAATTAAAAAAAAAATCAGAGAATTTACAAAACTACTTTTTATCAACTCTCAAATTTTTCGATCATTCTCTTTAAATTTCTAATCTTTCCATCTTCAACAATTTCCCGTGTATAGGAACAACAATTGTTTAAAAAAGCAACAAGTGTTCAACAATTATATTATTTTAGCTTCAGCTAGCTATTGAGAGGAGAATCTTTATGGTTGTAGGATTGCAGCTGCATAAATGATGAAAAAGCAAAAAACGAACAAAGAGATAGAGTTTATTCTTTTCGAAAACTAAATCTGTAAACAACAAAACATAGAAACTTGGTACCAGTACTGAAGAGCAGTAAAAGAACCCCCTTATAGCTTTAGCAGAGAGCCCCTAGAACTCACCTTGAAGCTGTACCCGCAACTTATGTTACTAAACACCGACAGTCCTCGCCTTGTCCCAATCGTTGACCACAATTTATCAAACTTTTAGGCCTCAATTTTTCTCAGTCTCATGCCAGCATAAAAAACGAAAGTGGCCAAAATGTAAAAGAGAAACAAACAATAGAAAAAGGTTCTAAAAATTTACTAAAAAAATGGTCAAACTTTCTCGGGTTTTTGGTTTATTTGGGATTTGGGTCGGTCATTAAGCAGGAGATAGCTGTGAGGTTGGATCAGTTGAGGATGGAATATCACGGCAACCCTCAAGCATGAAAAGAATATCAGGAATTGTGGGTCTATCAAGAGGGTCTAGTGCAGTGCAAAGAACTCTTTCCTCTCTGACGATCCAAGGTTAGATCAAGCAAAACAGGCTCTAAAAGTTCTGTTATTAATTTGAAGCTTCTGTAATTGCTTCTTAGCCCACTTGACAATATTATCTTGTGTGAACATTGTTAAAACTGCATATGTTTTCAATATATTTCGATACAGAGTATAAGAGAAAAGCTAGACTTGTATAGCCTATACAGAGTCCTATCCTAGGAAGTAAAATATAAGGTTTCTTAATTAGGAAGCATATGTACTGAATTATAGAAGAATAAAAACTCACGCCAAGACTCGCCCTCAAGTTGATGCATAGATATCGCCAATGCTCAATTTGTCAAGTGAGTTATAAAAGACCTCGCTTAAGATCGCTTTTCTAAGAACATCCGCCAATTGATCTTCGGACTTTACAAATGAAAATTGTACTATCTTGGCTTCAAGGTTTTTTTTTTTTTTTTTTTTTTTTGATAAAATGTCGGTCTACCTCAACATGTTTAGTTTGATCATATTGAACCGGAATTTGTGCAATTTCTATAGTAGACTTATTATTGCGTAAAAGATTCAATGCATACTCGAATAAATAGTCAATTTCTCTCGGTAACTCCTTTAACCAAAGAAGCTCACAAAGGCCTTTAACCATACCTCTAAACTCGGCCTCTACACTAGACAATGCGACCACTTTTTTTTTCTTACTTCTCCGGGTGACTAGATTTCCACCCACGAAGGTGAAACATCCCGATTTAGATTTTTTATCGGTAGTTCTCCCCGTCCAATCAACATTTGTATAACCATTAATCATTAATATTTAGATGATAATATTTTTTGAACAAAAGCCCTTTTCTTGGAGATGACTTTAAGTATCGTAAGATTCTAAAAACGGCTTTCATACAATCTTCACTAGGATTATGCATGAATTGACTCACCAAACTCACAGCGTATGCAATATCCGATAGAGTATGAGATAAGTAAATTAGCTTTCCTATAAATCACTAGTACCTTTCTCTATTTGTTGGAATTTGGTTCGAGTATTCTCCCGATCCATAATTCCGAACTACCGGTGTATCGACCGGTTTACACTCAAGCATTCCTATTTCAACAAGCAAGTCAAGAACATATTTTCGTTGTGATAAAAATATGCCTTGAACTAATCTAGATACCTCGATACCTAGAAAATATTTTAAACCTCAAGGTTCTTCATTTCAAACTCGATCTGCTAGATGTTTTCGAAAACTAGAGATTTCCTTCTAGTAATTCCTTGTAATTATCATATCGTCAACATAAATAATCAATGCTATCATCATCCGAAGTCAATGTTTCAAAAATAGAGTGTGGTTAGAATTTACTCGCTTGAAACCATGTTTCCCCATAGCTAAGAGCTAAACAGTCCAAACCATGCTCTCGATGATTTTTTAGACCATATAGTGACTTTTGCAGCTTACATACAACCCTAATTTGTGATAAGGCGAGTAAAGCTCGGAGGAACATCTTTGTACACTTCTTTATTAAGATTCCCATGAAGAAATGGGTTTTTCACATCAAATTGATGTAGTGACCAATCTAAATTTGCAGCGAAGAGACAACAAAACTCGGATAGTTTTTAACTTTGCTACTGGTGAAAAAGTCTCTTGATAATTTATGCCATATGTCGTGGTATATACCTTAGCTACAAGTCTCACCTTGTATCTCTCTACCGACCAATCTACATTTATGTTAGATAGAGAACACCCATCTACATCCCATGGTTTTCTTTCCTTTGGGGTAAAGTCATAAGCTTCCACGTATCATTCTTCTACAAAGCTGTCATTTCTTCGGTTATAACTTAGATCCATTTAGGGTCGTTTAGTGCCGCATGTACTATACTCAAAATATGCTTAGTGGATATCTTATGCACAAAAGTCTGTGAGGGGTTGTGAAAATCTATGAGTACAAACATGACATGTGTTGTCTTAGGAAAAAGTATCTTGGAAGGATTTTTCGGACACCAAATCACTTTGTTTGGTTTTTGATTGATTTTTTGTTTTGTTTTGCATCGATGTATCGTCTTAGGTAAGAGTATCTTGGAAGGATTTTTCAGAAATATGAGAGGAATGTTTTTAGTTTAGAAAAGAGAAGGATTGCTCCCTAACATTTGCATGACATGTTTTGAAATTTGATCAATGTTGAAATATTTTAAATGAGTTTTCCATTTTATTCACTTTCATTTGTATGATATAAAATGACAATGATATGTTCAAATAAGCATCTCTTGATTTCAAATCGATAATAAGATCATGCCAAGATAATAAGAATTTCATTTTCAAAGAAATTGCCCAATCCATGAAAATTACAATATTTTTGCGAGATGAAATCTAAAAATTCTCTATAAGGTAATATTTCATTCAAAAAATCAAGACTCATTCATACTTTTCTAACAAGCTTTAGAGGTTTTCCTTGCATTCATTATTATGAACATTATAAGTAGAGTTATACTAATCCCTTCTTTTTTAGCACAATCACATGGTATTTTTATTTTTGAGATATGATCATATTAAATGTCCTAAAAATAAGATGAAAATGAGAGTCATAACACAATAAAAAAAAGAAGGAAAATGTGTTAATTTGAGAAGAAGATTTACATGATCTCATAAATTGACATCATATGAAAGCATGATAGATAAATGCAATAAGAAAATTACTTGGCCTTGAAAACCAAAAGACATTTCTTCATCAAACTAGTCATTCAATTCCTTCCCTAAGGTTATCTCATAGATAAACTGATCTTCATCAAAGATATCTTCAAATATGTTGGCAAAAAGCACGATAATTTTTGAACGATCACGCACTAACCTAGTGCCGCATGACATCGTTCTTAGCATCGACCTTCTCTCGACCTCAAAATGTTTACTACCATAAAGTAAGATGGTTGATTCAAACTTAGTTATTTGTTGTGTAAATTAGCAATGTACAAAGGCTTTTATGATTTATTTTCCTCTCTTTCTATCCTCAAGATACCCAAAACTAGCATGGTTTCTACCTTTTGATGAAATTAAAGGTAATCATCAATATCATGTCCACTCTTTTTGTGAAACTTATGTTAGTGTAGGTGCCCTAGATCTAACTTATTTAGATGGCTTGATGTATTATATCATTACATTTTAATATTAATAAAGAAGTCCTTTTATTAATTCTTGTTATTTATAATTTGATAGAATTAAATAGAAGACCGGATGATATACATTGCATTAATGGTTCATCAATAGATGTGAGATAAATATTAGTATATTTAAATAATATTATTAAATATCTCAAGTCATAATATTGTCAAGAATGGACATTAACAACAAGCGATAAGACTTATGAGTATTATGCTTATGCTATAAAATAGCGAGTAAGAGGTCTCACACCTACTAGCAAAGTGATGCCTAAACAAGCACTCAAGTGAATAATATTAGAAAACTTATTATTAGATGTGACTCGTCATGAGAACCTATTTATTATTGTCTATAGGAATCTCATACGAGATGGGTACAAGTGATCATTTGACTTGAAGTCATCATGAGTATCTTATTAGAAGATTTGTGTACTTTGACACTCGTTTTAATAGGCTTAATAAAGAGTTATATGTGAACAATTCATTAGGTGCATTAAAAATCTAATGGAGATATGTGGATGACTACGATAAGATATGTCATTTCTTATATGCTAAAGAAGTTATCATATTGTAATTCGATGAAGGTCTACTAAAAAAATCTATTATCACAATGAAAGTATACCAATAGAGCATAATTGGTTTACTTATGAGCTAAGACATTTGAAAATCGGAGAAAACTTATGTGATCATAATCGAACATCTTATAAATTAAGTTTGAGATCATGCTATGATAAATTGACAAGTGAAATGAATTATATGAAAATAATTTTCATGAAAGGTAATTATGTATTAATTAATCCTCCTAGAGCATTGGGTAGTATGATGCCTTGCTAGAGGCCCATCTTGATTTATGTATAGAGAGATAAAAGAGATGTCTTTTATCTTCTTAATACACTCGCTAATATATTTAGGAGCATATTGAGTCACATAAATAAGTTTAAATATTCACATGATAAAAAAGAAGCAAAGGGTTTTGGAAAATGTTTCCTATTTTGAAAAATCTTTTTTGTTTTGGAAAGTTTTCTATTTTGGAAAGCCAATTTCATAAAATGAAAATTAGTTTTTTATTTTAGAAATTATTTTTCTAATTTGAAAGTCAGTTCAAAAATCAGCTTTTTAATTTAGGTTTAAGGGCAATTTAAAAAATTATTTCTTAATGTGGGCCTTACTAAAATACTTGACCTAATTTATTTAGATGATCTAAATTAATTCGTAATTAATTGGTCCAAAAGAGTTTGGGTTAATAGATTTAATTTAAAAGCTCGCAAGATATTTTTATGAAGGGATAAAATTAAGCACTATTGGATAAGGCTCGGGGTTTAAAAGGATAAGGTTAGACAAAACTCATATAAGAAACATCTCCTTGACCTACAATGAGAAGTTGCCTCCTTATAAATAAAGAAAAGAGAGAGGGATGGTTTATACAATATAAAAGAAAAGGTTGAGTGTTTTCTCCCTAAAAAATTTACCATCCTCTCTTTTTCTCTAAGGTTGGCATAAAGAAACCCTAAAAGGATTTCTTAAGAAATAAATAAATTTAATACATAGAAAAAGTTAGAGCTAGCAACCTATGAATTTTGTTGCATCTTATGAGAGTATTTAAGTTGCTTGGATAATTAGTAGAGATCGAATGCTTAGATAGTTTCACGAATTTGATTTCTATACTAAAAGAGGTAATCACTCACTATTATCTTATTCATATTTATGTATGATTAGTTTATTCAACGGCATGATTTTGAAAACTTTAGATAGAGGAAAAAAATTTGTTTCACACCTCATAAGATACATGATCCTTCAACTTATGGGAGGACTTGGCATGAATAAGAGCTTGAGAATTGGCTAGTTTCTTGTTAATGTTGATAGTTGATAACATATCAAAGAAACGAGTACATAAAAATTTCAGAA